AGACACCTGAGCCTCGGGGACAGGTCCCCTCCCGCTGCTCACGAGGCACTGCTGCTGGGGGAGGGCGGCTTCTCTCCTCCCCAGCCCGCCCCCCTCCACCTGTGCGCCCAGCCTGCGGCTCCACCGCTTTCTCCTCCTCGCTCCCTCTGCCTCACCTGCTTCTGCCTGGAAGCTCCCGTGCCCACCAGGACATTGTCGCATCCACCCCGCCGCGCCCGCTCAGCACCGCAGGCCCAGCTGGGCCACGCAGGGTGCCACGCAGGGTGCCCCGCTCTGCTGGGGGCGGATGGGGCCTGGCTCCAAGCCCAGCGCCTTCTCTCCAAGGAGAAAGACTCCTGCCGAGACCTCAGGACCTGCAGTTCCAGCCAGTGTGCCCTTCCGACTCGGACTTCCTGTTCTCGTCTAAGTCTCCTCGATTTTTATGGAAACTCTAAGGAGGTTTCCCCAAAGCGAAAAGTCTGTATAATTAGTAATTTTTTCTCCTTCGTTCTATTTTCATAGACGAAAGTGTTCTTTACGGTCTTCCTTTCCATTCCTCGCTGCCCTCTTCCTGGCCCGAGGCTGGGATGCTGCTGTGGCACCCTCAGACTGCGGTCTGTGCTCGCTGACAGCACCAGCCTCGGGCGACCCTGCAGACCTCAGTTCCCTGCCACATGCAGTCTGCTGCGGCCCCGTCACTGCCTGTCGTTGGCGTCTTTTCAGTTAGAACGCATTTCACACCCTGCTCTGAGTAAGTGAACAATTTATCCCGCCCTGCGCCAGGGCTTGGTTCTTCTCTTCTGATTATTGCCGAACATTTTTAGCTCCTCCATTCAACCGGCAGAGGAAATACCATGAAGGAGGGTACAGGGTCCTGGATGACCTGGAAATAAACCACTGAAGGTGGACCCAGAATACAGCTGGCCTGGGGAGGCCTTGGGCCAGGGGGCAGCGCAAGGGACACTCACAGAAAAGGGACAGTCCCTGCCTAGTAAGCCCCCAGCCCCAAGGTAAGCTGTTCCTCAGCTGGATGCCTTGAAGTAGGATTGTGTTCCTCAGGTACAAAAAGATTTGTAAAATACATAGTTTTGAAAGCAACAGGAGATGTTCATTATGGCACTTAGTGACCAGAAGGAACCAAAAAGCAGAAGCCCTCAGTGAAGCACAGCAGACGATGACAGAACCTGTGACCTGAAGTCGCCGCCCTGCAGCCGGCGTCTGGCACCACGCTGCGCATTTCCCGCCAGCCTCGCGTGCACAGCCCCTGGGCTCTGCTGGGTGGGGGCCAGCCTGTGCCCCTCACAAGTCTCTGGTCGTTCCCCGTGGCCTCTGCAGGCGGTGTTCCGTCCTGATGGTCCCCAGATGGGCTTCACACAAATGGCTCTTGGGAAGAGGCAGCGATAGGTACCTGTGCTGGCAGCAGGCTGTGCTCCACATCTCTGAGCAGAGGCCTGCGTGGGAGGCAGAGCAGAAGTGGAGCAGTCACTTGGTAGTTTCATGATCCGAACTCTGCCGTCCTGAGATTCCTTCCCACAGCAGCCTTGGCAGGAAGCACGTGGTGCCAGTGATGTACCTGGACTTGAGGTGCACCATGGCTGGCCATTCTTCCTGCATTCGGCAAACAGCATGGTGTAGCCAGAGTTGGGTGGTTTGGCCCACGGGGGCATGGCGGGACCTCAGGGCAGCTGGAGCACAGTCCAGACTGTGGGCATGACCTAGGCTGCCCCTCAGAATCCTCAAAATGCTCTGCTCCTGGATCTTCAGCTTCCACGCCCCTAGCTGCTCGCCCTCGCCCTGGCCTTCTCTCTGGCTCCTCCCGTCCACAATGATGGGCAGTGCTGTGGCACCGAGTAGCACAGTACAAGCGGAGAAGACAGGCTGTGTGAGCTAAGATGGCTGGCGCCAACCTGTTGTCTTCGACTTCGTGCTGTGCACGTGAATGGATTTAAGGCAGCCTCGAGCGTCCTTCCTGCCACTTGCATCTTATCTGACCTTTGCAGGGAGTGGGCCAGCGGCACAGGGCTGCCAGCTGCCCAGGGCAGACTGGTCTCTGAAGCCTGAGACTCCAGTGCTGGGGGACACAGCTGAGAGGAGGACAGGTCCTGCCCCCCGAGAAAGGGACTTTCAATAATTAATACATTGCATATTGTTGTCTTAGTGGTTATTCATTGTACAAGATGCAGACCTGATATCCTGTCCACAAACACTATTAGAACAAACCTCTCTATTCATTGAATTAAGAGAATGCAGCTGCATATCAATCCTAACTATTTTGAGTATACAGATAAAAAATGGTCATTCATTTGTATCCCCCTTTTTTGGTTAGTTTTGTCAGAGAAGGGCATTCCATTGTCATTTAAATACTGTAGGTGTGTGAATTCAGCAAAATATCCCAATATAGTCCAGTAGTCCATAATAGTAGTGGGTTTTCCATAAGACTATCAATGTCCAGAGTTGACTTGAGTTTTTTACAGTTCCTTATATTAATATGACTTTACTTTTTACACTTCATTTTCATACTTTTCTGCTAGATGGTTAAGACCAAGAAAGAGCAAGACCTATATAACAAGAAATGTAACTTTTGTATCTGATAAAGTCAGTCAGTCAAATCCCCTCAGGATTTAACCTGTAACCCTGTACCGCAGTTTGTAGATCTTTCGTCAGTGTCAGCCATGTGGATGAGTCATGGCCATTGCTTGACCAATTTGCTCTCTGTGAAAGCCTGGGAGAATGTTTTCTCTCCATGTGACTCTCATTATGCGCACTCTACATCATTGATCTACTGCTTGTCATGACATACCAATTACTGCCATACTGTCTCTCAAGTAAATGTTTGTTTTTAAAAAAGGGTAATAAATGAAAACATGAGACAAAAAAAGTCTCAGGACTGTCCTGCTACAAGGCTGTACACTGATTTCCACAGTGGTTGTGGAACTGTATATTTTTCCCAATTCTGTGGGTTTGCTCTTCACTCTGTTGGTGGTTTCTCTTGCTGTGAAAAAGCTTTTTAATCAGATGAGATCCCAGCTGTTGAGTCTTTCTGAGAGTCCTCTGCAGTTTGGTTCATAGTCTTTTCCTACAGTGGTGTCTTCGAGAGTTCTACCTATTCCATCTCCCAGCAGATTTAGTGGTTCTTTTTAAATATTTATATCTTTGATCCATTTCTATTTTAGTTCAGCGCACAGTGGAAGGTATGGGTCTAGGCGTGATTTCCCTCACGTGGAAAGCCAGCTTCGCCAGCACCATCTATGCAGGCCTTACTCCTAGTCTAGGTACTTGGCTCATTTGTCAAAGATGGGGCTGAGTGTGTGGAGTTGTTTCTGCATCTTCCAATCAGTTCCACTGATCTGTGGATCTGTTTTGTTCTGTTTTTGTGTATGTGTTTGCCACCACAGTATTGTTTTTATCACGATGGCTTTGTAGTACAATTTCAAATCAGAGATTGTAATGCCCTCTGTCTTTTCTTTGTTGCCCAGAATTGCGTTTGTTGTTCTAGGTATGTTCTTGTTCCAAACAAATTTTAGGAATGTTTTATCTAGTTCTGTGAGGTATTCTATTGATATTTTGATGAAGATTGAACTAAATCTGTATAACAATTTTGGAGGTGTGACCATTTTCACTGTATTGGTTCTTCCTACCCAAGAACAAGGTATATATTTCCATTTTCTAATATCTTCTTTGGTCCCTTTATCAGAGTACTCCAGTTTTCAGTGCAGATGTCTTTTATTTCCTTCATTAGATTTATTTCTCCTTATGCCCTTTTTTGGGGGGTGCTATGGTGTCATTGAACAATTGCTCATTCACCCAGCGAGCCCTGCAATATTTATTGAGCAGCTACTACATGCTAGGAGTTATTCAAAATACTTGGGGATAAAGCAAGAATTCCTGGCCTCATGATGCAGAAACGGGGGGCAGCAAGGGTGCAGCTGGGCCAGGAGCGCTGTGGGCGCTGAGTTCAGGCGAGCACTGAGCAAGAGGCCATGCAGGAAAGATGTAAAGAGGAGCGTTAGACACAAATGCCTGTGGATTATGTGAGGCGCCCTAAGATAGAGTCCCTCTAGGTTCTGATGTTTGCTTTGTAAGAACTAAAATCTCACTGTGTTGTTCCTCTGCCGTGTGTTCATGTTTACAGGCCAGGGGCTCAGCCCAGCTTGGTTGTCTGTGTAGACAAATTCTTCCCAGTTCATACCAGGGAAGAACCAACCAGGTACTGGATAAGTGCAAGGAACGCTCGCTATAGCTGTCTATTAGGAAATGGGAAATTATTCGCTAAGCTACATTTTCTTTTTTTGGTCTAGAAAAAAATAAGTGATAATTTTTCTTGTAAGTGATTTTGCTTGAAAGTTATTTTAGTTCTTTAAATTAGCTGTCTGTTGGTCATCTGGTGATTAAGTCTTCTAGCAAGCGTGATTATGAAGCAGGATTATGCACCCCAAAATGTTTGTTTTTGTACTGAAATGATGTATTATAAATTATTTTGTAATGAGAGACTCAGGCATGGTCCACAGATCTTTTTTGAATGCTTACTTTTGAATTTACATACTTCCGTTTTACAGAATTCAAAGTTTTGTAGCTATGTGCATCAACCTTTGTCTTCCAGCAGAGGCTACGTGTCCCTTTAAAGTCAAGGAAGAGCTCACTTTGGGCTCTACCTGTAAAGCACTCAGAGGTGCCTGTCCTTTCCCACCTGCACCTGAGAAGAAAGACTGTCACAGCGGCTGTTGGTAATGGAAGCCACCAGGCTCCTGAGGCAGAAGAGGGCTTTATTACTCATAGTACAGCAAGCAGCATGAGCCTCATGTCCCCATGTCCCACAGCATGACAGGAGGCTGGCCCTAGTGTGTTTGGACAGCCTGGACCTGGCTCCACTTCTCACCCTGGAAACCACCATCTCTCAAAAGCAAATGAGGCCAAAGGCTTCATTCCCGCGTGGAGGCCTCACAGTGTGGGGTCAGCAGAAGGCAGTGAGTGGCTCTGTGGCTCAACAGAGTGGAGCCCAAGACCCTGAGGAGCACTTCTGTGGTCCAGCATCTAGCATCTAGGTGGCCAGGGGGACTTGGCCTGTGCCAAAGCAAATTAGTTGGTCTGGAGGGTCATCTCAGAAGAGGTTGAACTGAAGCCATTGTTGTGTGACAGTTCCTGGATAGCCTGTTCTGAATTCCCACTCTACTGAATTTCGAGAAAAGTTCTTATTTTGAGAACTCAGATATGTGTGTGAAGATGGTGCAAAAAGATGAAACATCCCAGTCAATCAAAGACAGAGATGAAACGAACAGGGGAATTAATCCAGGCAGAGAGGCTATGGATTAGGGGTTTCCTCCTGGGCAATTGGCAAGTTATGGCTAGAGATTTGGTGGTAAATATTTTACAACTGACTTTCCAGTGAGAAGAAGGAGAGAGACAAAAATGAGGAAGAGGAAAAAGAGGAAGATGAAGAGAAAGAGGGAATGGAGGAGAAGAAGAGTGAGATGGGGAGAAAAAAGGAGGGGGCAGGGAAAGGGGAAGGGCCCGGTGTGTCGCTTTTGCCTTGCTCCTAGCCTAAATTACCCAGCTGTGCCCAAGGTAATTGGAGGGTGCAGCTCCTGGGTGGATCCAGGAGTCTGTGCCATGCACCCGCCAGAGCGTGGGCCCAGTGCCAGGCGCCCCTGGCTGCACTGCAGAAAATGAAAGCAATAACTTGAGAAGTGTGTTCCCGCCGGTCTCGCCCTTGCCCCAGTGCTGTCTGTCAGTGTGAACAGAGCGAAGGCTGCAGGGCTGATGCAGCCGCCTGGAGCACACTATGCTTGGAGCGCCTTGCCTCAGCTGCCTTCTCTACAGAAAGAGGGAACGAGCTTGCGCACAGCTCTGTGACCAGGAGGGTCAGGATGAGCCTTTCTGAGCACCAGACTGGCAGGCAAGAGTCAGCCACCTCCTGCTGGCTTGCTCGCTCCTGAGACCCACTTGGCTTGCAGGGAGGGCTGGCTCAAATGCTTGACTTGTGTGAGGAGACAGAGCAAAAGGCACACTTCCAGGAACTGTGGTGTTCACTTGCTGACCCACGCAAGGGCACTGCTTTTGTCCTCCCCTTACCACTCTCGCAGTGTGTGAGAAAAACGAGCGTGTGCTCCCTGTGTCCCATTTCCACAGAGTCCCTGCCTTCTCCCTGGTGTTTTCTTTTCCCCTGCTCCACGCTCCCCAGCTGCCTCGAGTCACAGCGTTACCCCACCACACGCTTCCCCCACAGTATCTCTGTCCCGGAGCCAGGAAACCATGGTGTAAATCTGAAACTGAACCAAAGTAAGCCTCTCCCTCTTTAGTTGTAGATGCCAGGTATTATGTTTCAGCAACAGGAAAGCTTACTAATATGGAGAATTGGTACCAAGAATGGGGTTACAGCTGTGTCTATTCTTCACCACATGACTCAGAAGCCTCTGGACTAGCTTAGAGGAGCAGCTTGGAAAAGTTTGGAAATGCTGCTGTGAGAAGCCTCAGAACGTTCTAAGCAGATTTTGAAGGGAGATTTTGGTCAGAGCTCAGACCAGGGTGCTGATAGGAATGTAGACAGTAAAGGCCAGGCTCAGGAGGTGTCAGCTGGAACCAAGCGTTCCACTGGCAATTGGACTAGAAGCCATGTGTATCACACTACGGCAGGAAAAAAAATCCTGTATTTTATCCATGTCCAGAGACGTTGCCGGAGACCATGATTAAGGGCAGTGGATTAATGGCTATGTTGCAGAAAATTTCTAAGTAGCCTAACATTCAGACTGTAACAGGGGTTTTGCTGGCTATTTTTAGCATGTGTAAAGTTGGACCTAAGAAAGTGTCATGGCTGAAGAGATTAGTGTCCCAATTACTTTTCTCTCATTGCTGTGACAAAATATCTGACACCCAAAATTAAGGAAGGAAAGGTTTATTTAGCTCACAGTTAGTGAAGGTTTCAGTCCATACTCGGCTGGCTCCAAGGCAGAGTGGGCAAGGCAGAGAGCAGCAGTTCATGGAAACAGAAAATAGAAAAGAACAAAGGGAAGGCAGCGTCTGTGGCATCTATCTATCTCCCCTCCCCACACTGAAATACAGATCACCGAGCCAAGGGCAGGAATAGCACTCACATCAAGTGAGTGATCCCAGCATTGGATCCAGGATTAATCACAAACTCTAGATGCTGCCCCATAACTGCGTGAGGCATTGGGAGGATACCTAGACACAAACCATAACAATTAGCATCATTAAAATATGCTCTGTACAGGGCTAAGGAAAAACTGCCTTGAGTACATCTCGGGCGTCAGCAAGACCCCACCCACTACACACTTTCATGTGCAAAGTGTTATCTTTTCTTTTGAAAAGAGTCTCTGGGCCCCTGCTGCAAACAGTTCCCGTGTAGAGCAGGTGCCCCTGGATCCACCCACTGTGCACAGCCGCCCAGTCCCTCAGAGCTCTGCAGCTGTGACGTAAGGGGGCCTGGCTACTGCTTCTGCTGACAGCAAACTCTAGCATCATGCACATAGTGCTGGTTGTACTGCAATGCAGAGTGCAGGAGTTGTAGAGTCAGGCAGGCTTTCATCAAGATTTCAGGAGGAGGTACAGGAGGCAGGCAGGAGCCGCTGAGAGGACAGTGCATGAAGCTGTGGTAATGAAGCCACAGGTGCCGTGGAGACCCCAGAAGGTAGGAGATGCCAGTTAAACAGAATGTCTTTCAAGAAAAGCTGTAGGCTGTGAATGGAGTCAGCCTAAGAAAGAGGTCTTGTGGGCTGCAACTGGCAAGGACATAGGGTGGGATTCCCCAAGATCTCTGGTACACGGATTTCACTGCCATGTGTCCCAAATGCTGGGCATGGACGTTCAGGACTTAAATATTTTCCCTACTGAGTTTCAGTTTTGCTTTGCTTCTATTCTTTTGTATTCCCTATTCCTTCCTTTTGAAAAGGGGATGCTTTACCTGTGCCATTGTGTCTTGGGCTTGTGCAACTTATTTTTTATGTTTCCAGTGTTGATAGCTAAGCATTTGTCTTGTGGTGCACAACAGACTCTCGGTCTTTTGAAAATCGCTGAGCTGTGGAGACCTCAGGGCAGGGATGGCCGTGTTCTCGGTCGTGCTTAGGGTAGCTACACACGTAGGTAAGATTATTAGCTCACTTGCATGCTTACTCGGAGATGAAGGGAGGCTTTAAGGAATGCTTGCCATGAGCTGGGCAAGGGTAGGGTGTGCTGGGTACGCCGCACTCAGCCAACTTGGTTGGCCTGGGAGCTGCCTGAGGGTGAGCCCTGTGCACCTCAAGGCACGCGGCGGGCCGCCGAGGCCCCACTTTGGGCATTGCCTTTGGTCTCTGGCCCCTCTTCTTGAGCCCTGTTCGTTGCCTTGCTGCCCACCCGCAGTGAGCTAAGTGATTTTGCTGTTCCAGGTCCTCGAGTCCCCCATCCTGAGCCCCGTCAGAGCTCTCCTGCTCTAAGGCTGTGGGTGCTGGGTGATGTGTCTCAGTGATGCGAACCAAGCCAAGCAATCCCAGCCTCAGGTGAGAGAGGATGGGAAGACAGCGTGCGAGCCTGGAGAGGCACCGCTATCGAGGGCCGGCAAGCAGA